GATAGCCTAATCATGGATTCGCTGTTGTCTGCAACCTGATCTCCGGCGAAAGGCTTCTGCACACAAAAAAGAAAAGCCCTGCATGAACACGCAGCATAATGAAGCGAGTGGATTTTCCTGATGGATCTCATATCTATAAGATGATGTCTGTGTGCGAGGATTACGAACGTATGCTCCTTTACTATGTGCGTTCCTCACTTAACACGAAAGTGAAAGTAACCTACGCATTCGGGATAGTTTAAAATAATTCGGGTCTAATCGGGTCCATTTGGGAAAAGCATGTTTGTTTTAAATTACCCGAGACTCGAGGCCGCTAATACCGAACCCGACCCATGTCCGAGGTACTCGTCGAAGTTTTGGACCCGAACCCACTCGGGTCTCGTACCTCGGGTTTTCGGATCTAAGTGGACCCGTGAAGACCTCTACTTCCTCTTCGTCGTTAGGTATCAATGTGTTCTTGGCAAGACCGTTATGTGCTTGAGCGCCACCAAGTCGTGTTTTACTGTAACTTCAGCAGCTCCAGGCACGTGAACAAAAGCGCCAATCTCATTGGTCGGCCAGTTTTTAACACGGCGCGTCAAACCAAAAAAACGAGCCCGAGGCGTTTTTTAAAAAATTTCGCTTTTACGCCTCGCGTTTTGCGCGTCGGTGTGCACACTCTTTGTTTAGTCACGAGGCGTTAAACGTCGGCGATAATCGTGCGCGATATTCGTCCCGGTGTGAACAAGCCTTAATTATAAATTTTTTTTTTAAAAATTCCCCCTTTCTATCTTTTTTTGTTGTTGCTATATTTCAGTGCTTAGTGGTGTGCCGTGGGATTTTTTACTTAAAACTGTACCGCGCTAGAAAAAAGGTTGGGAAACACTGCTTTAATGCATCCTTGCTGAATATACATAAACATATATTTGTACCTTTCCAGCGGACTTAACACCCTTCCAGATGCAGAAGTAGACAATGACCCATGTAGCAAGCAGACACAAGACCAAGTAACCGTTGATGTCACCCACTTCACCCAAACCGCCAGACAGACGTAGAACTTTACGCCTGATCAAGAAAGAAACATTTTGTCAAACCAAAGTTAACACTTTAACTCGGCATTCCCAAAATTAAGCAAAAAGGTTTGAGCGACCATGCTATATTACAAATCTAATCACAGCTAAAGAACACAGATAGACACAAAACTTCTTACTTTCTACAAACGGTTAATACATACAATACATATAAATGGTTAATACACAAACAGTTGACGGTAGCCATTGACTTCTATAGTATTTTTTCTATACTATGGAAGTCAATGGCTACCGTCAACTGTCTGGTTCTTCAAAATATATTCTTTTGTGCTTAACAGAAGAAACAAACTCGCGGAAATTTGGAGCAACATAAGGGCGAGTAAATTACAGAATTTAAATTTTTGGGTTAACTATCCCTTTAAGAGCTTCAACAGCTCATCTGATGCCACAACATTTTCACAAAAGTCTCATCAAAAGAAGTAAAAATCTGTGCCAGGGCCTAATCAGATTGGAAAACGTTTCAAAGACACTTACTCCCAGAACTCCATAACAGATGATCGCAAACCCGTGTGCTCCAGACAGCTGGCACTGGTGTTGAGGGAGGAGACATTGGGAGGGGAAGGGGACAATGACTGATTGAGACACACGCGGCTGAAGTTAGTAGTACAGTTGACCGTGTTCCACTCATGTCCACATGTGGCCCACGGCAGAGGGGAAGTGAAGGAGTGAGCCAGAAAATACAGGCCCCACACCAGAACCATGATGTAGTAGGTGTTGCAGAAGAACACGATCACCATTGATGCCAGTCCAAGCCCTGGAGGAAAGAACGATACTGCCCTTCTTCAGCCTGCTTCAATACATGCTATGTCTCACGCTGGACAATATTAAAAGCCAGACAGATCAATATTCTGTTTTGCCATTAAAAATAAAGATACTTGCAGGCAGGATGAGGTATGGATCTGTTTAACTAGAGGTTGGCCAGGGCTGGGGTGTGTGCAAATGCATCTGGTTGTTAATAATACTCCACCTTTAAAAAGAGGCGCGATGTTCCATGAGGCGACCCCACCCTGTTTCATGAATTGACCCAGTGCGATCTCCAGGAAGAACACTGGAACACCTCCAACAAACACCATTAGGAGATAGGGGATCAGAAACACACCTGCAACACACAGGAAATGACAAGACTTTAGCAGACTTATAAACTGTTTATTACAGAGATAGTATACTTAAGTGCGAACTGAATGTAATGTTGTCAGACACTTGACTGCATGTTAATTGCAATTAAATGAAAATGTATTATATATTGTATTTTCAACGCACTTAAGTAGGACTTTTAGTACATTTAAAATACATATACTTTAATTATAATATTGAATAACACTACAGTTCAAATTATAATCAAGTACTTTACATGTGCTTTAGTATTAGGGATGTAACGGAATGAAAACTTCTTATCACGATTATAGTGACCAAAATTATCACCGTTATCAGTATTATCACGGTATTGTTAAAATGTGCTGGAGATGTTAAGTATGCTAGTTAACACATCAAAATAAGTGTACTTCTTTAAAGCACAACAAAGGATTATTAGAATATAGTGGTTTAAAATGTAGTAAAAGGTAAAACATTTAGGCCCGGTTTCACAGACAGGGCTTAGACTAAGCCAGGATTAGGCCATAGTTCAATTAGGACATTTAAGTAATTTTTATTAACATGCCTTAGAAAAAACATTACTTGTGTGACAAAATCTTGAGACAAAACAAAGGCACTGATATATTTCAAGATCAGTCAGTGCAAGTTTCTTTCAGTTAAAACAGCTCAGATTTACACTTTAGTCTGGGACTAATCTTAAGCCTCGTCTGTGAAACCGGGGGTTAATTTTACAAGAATTTTATAAGAGCTTGCAATTTTTAAAATTGTACCTAAGTGAGGTAAGAAACATGATGAAAGTGAACTCTCTTTAACACTGATTTGAAGTGCAGTACAAGTGTACATTCGATACAATTAAGCACACTTGTTTTTCACAAGGGTAACGATGTCTGTATCTTAGTTTTCAAAGAAATATTTCACCCAAAAATGTAAATTCTGTCATCATTTACATTTTAGTATTGTCATTCCAAACCTGTTTCTTTCTTCCGCAAAACAGTCAAGTAGATATTATTATTCCAAACAACACTGGACCCCACTGACTTTCACTTTGAGGACAAAGAAACACTTGAGACATTTTTTTGTGTTCAGGTTTAGAATGACATGAAGTTTTTAGTAAATGATGACAGAATTAAAATTTTTGGGGCATACTAAACTCTTGTACTCAAATGTACTTTGTGTATGTAAGAGAGAGAGCAAGATAAATTAGGTCTCCCTCGCAAATCATGTTTACAGACGGATATCAAATCTAACGTTTAGTATCAGCTCTATAGACACGTCACACAACTGACACGGTTCTTGAGGTGGCGTCTGATGACACTGATGCTGACTTATTGACATGCTTCAGCTGACAGTGAAGGGGAAACAAAACAAGCTTATAACTCTAAGCAGCATATATCACCACCTACATGCATCAGAAGAGCTGCACAGATGGTTAATGTTACGAGAGAAGGAGAGGAGAACAAAGAACAGAGCATCACTTCTTCAACCTTTGATAAACTCCGGTCATGAACAGTAGACAGCCATTGTCCTTCCTCTTTCTTCCTGTCTGTCGGGCCGACGTTTATTTTTCTCAGCGCTTTGACCTTCTAATTTATCTCTACTGGCAGATACTTCATTACATTTCAGATGATTTAGTTTATTAGTGTTAAAGGAATAGTTCACCCAAAAATGGAAATTTGCTGAAAATGTACTCACCCTCAGGCCATCGAAGGTGCAGATGGGTTTGCTGGAGAAATGTAGCATTGCATCACTTGATCACCAGTGGATCCTCTGCATATAATAATTGCTGTTAATGGTGTTCATCGTCTGTTTGATTGAGTCTATCGTCTGTTTGATTGAGTCTTTAATTGATTACGTCTTTAATTGATTTTTCCGTACATTTCTGCCATATGTACATTAACTGACAGTCACCACTGATAAGCTACCACTAAATATTGTAGAAACTTAATTTACTGTTAAGTTGCTTTGCAATGATTGATATCGTGAAATGCGCTGTACAAATAAACTTGAATTGAATTGAACAAGTAACCCACACCACTCCAGTCCATCAGTTAACGTCTTGTGAAGTGAAACACTTGTTTGTAAGAAACAAATCCATCAAGACGCTTTTAATATTCTATACATAATATTGCTTTCTCCAGTGAAAAAGTTGTCTTGTCTAAATCTGAAATATGCACAGAGAGAAATATGCAAAGATCAAGCACTGTTTACAAATGAAAACAGTCCAAAACAGCTCTAAACAAATACATTGGTGGATTTTGATGTGAGAGATGGACTTTTTCACGTGGAGGAAGCGTTATTATGGATTATGGACTATTTTGTACAGAAGCAACGGTTTGAAGTTAAAACGCCTTAATGATGGATTTGTTTATTAACATGCAGATTTTGGCTTCACAAGATGTTAACTGATGGACTGGAGCGGTGTGGATTACTTGTGGATTATTGTGATGTTTTTATCAGCTGTTTGGACTCTCATTCTGACGGCACCCATTCACTGCAGAGGATCCACTGGTGAGCAAGTGATGCAATGCTACATTTCTCTGAATCTGTTCCAAAGAAGAAACAAACTCATCTACATCTTGGATGGCCTGTAAATCTTATGCAAATTTACAGTTTGGGTGAACTATTCCTTAAAGAGTGTGTATGATAGAACAACAGTTTTTTTTTTCAGGTGTTTTTTTTTAATCAGGGTCACTTATTGATCAGTAATTGAGTATAGAGAGGAAAATCTCACATTTTCAATTTAATCTGAAGACTTTTAGACCCCACTCTATGTATCTGTTCGGTTAGATATGATATATCTGTGCCTGTATGTATCTCACCTCCTCCATTCTTATAACAGAGGTAAGGAAATCTCCAGACGTTTCCAAGGCCAACAGCAAATCCAACACAGGACATGATAAAGTCCATCTGCCTGCTCCACGTTTGTCGTTCCGAATGCCCCAGTTCTGTGGCGGGGTCGCCTGTCTCCATCAGACCCGTGCAAACTCTGGGCCCAGCAACCTCCGTACTGGACCCCTCAGTCTCTGACACCAAAGGACGGGCGACTTCTGCTTCCTCCTGAGATTCATCCTCACACGTGCCGCAATCATCTGAGAGAGAGAGATGAACATGACTTTGTGAGTGCTTGATCTTCTTTTGCTTTAATAGCAGCATAATTAGAACTGATGTGAACTCCAGGCCTTTGTAGTATAGATATCACAAATTTGCATATTTGATTTAAATAGTTCTCATTATATATATATATATATATA